GCACTTGGAAAACAGTGTATTCTTGTATTCTTGTAGTAATCCACTGCTTGTGGCTCTTACAATCTTTCAACCCCCAGAGGTGGCATGATATTGCAGGTAGGGGTGAACATTTTGTGATATCATATATTTTGCATGTAGATGAGTTGTGGGTCTCTACATTAATGTCCATCTACTGAAACAAGCTTTTCTAGTGAATTTTGAGAGTCACTAATCTATGGGCATAGTAATATGTCATTCAAGACTTTGCATACGCGAACTCACAGGAGTATGACTGAAAGCCTTCAGAATACCAAGCCAGACAAAAATTCCATCATGATTTAAGGAAGGGCTCACAAAGTCCCACTCCTAGCTGAGCCACTATTAGTAACTTTAATGGCTGCTGATGGAGGGAGAGTCTAAATTTTTGTTAGTCTGTTTTTTTATGTAGTTTCAGATAGGCAACTCATGCTTCTGGTGATGGCCATACACTCCTGTATATACGAGCAGCACTAAGTAGACTGGGTTTAAAAAATGTTCATGCTGTCACAACAACTATGAATCTATATGGACAAGTGCTCTGCACTGTCTAGAAAACACTATTGCCTCATAATCATCTATTACCCCTGGATCTGAAAAACTTTCTGAAACTCACAGAAGTTATGGCAATAATACCCCACACGAGACTTGCACAATCTCAAGTCCAAGCATGTAGAGGGAAGGTAGGTACCAAGTACCATGCCTATCTGAGGAGCTATTGGTAACTGATTGCTATTGGGAGAGGAAGAGTCAGTTTAGGGTGTGGACCCTGGTAGGCTGACCATGCTTTACTAGATAGCGATAAACCCAGCAGTATGTAGTCAGCACAAACTGGACATTGGATTTCCTAGGTAGGGAAGGGGGATGGATATGAGGGGACATGGGGAAAGAGTAGAACATGACCCAAGTACATTGCATGGACTTCTCAAAGCATTAAATTTTTCAAAAAGTAAACAAAATTGGGAAGGAGAAATGCTGGTAGGTGGTATGGGAGTAGATGGAAGGAAGGGTGTAAGGGTTTTGATCCAAATGCATTGTACCTGTATTCTTCCCATTGCTTGGTAGTCAATAGTGTTAGGCATAGTTGATTGTACTTTCATCCCACTTGTTTTTTTCATTTATGTTTGTAAGAGCCACAGCCTTCTGTTTCTCCCTGGTTTAAGCCCTCTACTCCACACACTTTCTTTTCCCTTATCACTGAGAAAATTTTTTTCCTATCAAAAGAATGCTGACCTGTCAAGTATTCCAAAGCACAGACACATTCATGAAAGACACTTCATGCCTGATCTAATTCACTGGCAGCAGTTTTATAGCAACAAATCAGGTTTAAGAATAGGATTAATACATTTGACAATAAAAATAACTTCAATATAGCTCAGATTAATTCTAATCTCAGATTAAGAATGAATAATATCTGTATAATTATGTCTCATGCAATTATCATCGACTTCTACTGAAAAATTATTTATCTGGAATCCAAATTAAATTAGGCATGTGGTATCTTATCTGCCAGCTGTGCCAGAGCAGTTATATCTCATTCAAATTTCACTTTTAGGAGTGGGAAAATGAAATGACATTGATTTCAAGCCAGCAAGGGTCAGGTTTTCATGCAACTGTCATGGTCTATTGTGGTGTCTTTCCTTTATGTGTGTTCACATGCCTTTTGATTCCTAGACTACAATCTCAGTAGAAGCAATAGTACCTCTAGCCAAGAACTTCGCACACAGAGCATATCTTCCAGCTCCCAAATTTATATCAAAATACACGAAGCCTTAGAACTTCATCTGGAAGGCTAGTGGAGGGGTTACTTCTGAACTTACATTGTAGGAAAAGCTTAGCTAGACTGTACCCTACTAATCTGTCTATAGTATCCCCACAGAGCCTTATTCTCCAGAAAATATTCCTATTATGCAGAAGTGTGAAGAAGAGTCAGTAGAGAACATTACTTACAGTATCTACAAATATGAATTAGTATTTTTAAAATTCTACTTATTTTATATTAATGAGTGTTTTGCCTGTATGTATGTATGTCTAGCTAAAACTAGGAAAAAGAAACCAGTTTTGCACTGTACATTTTGACAGCCTATTCAAATATGAATGTAGATGTATAATGGCAGCAATTTCCCTTCACTCTTGAATTCCTACCTATTTAAATTTACATAATTCCCTGAAGTTTGTAGTTAGATAAACATATCTCTGGTGGTTCCAAAGCAATTTACAATGTTTTAGGGGTAGCTAATCAAAGCATTTTTTACTTCGAGACCCACTATCTACCTACCAAACTGACGGAGGTCCAAGCAGAAATTTGCTCCCTCCACTAGTGTGGTGTTTCGGCAGATGGTCCATAGGTTGAAATACATGTACACTGGCAGTGAGGTGAAAGCTGTGACTCCAAGCCAGGCCAACATGAAGAGGTATGTTAGCATGATGAACTGCAGCAGAGAAAACAGGGAAAGAGAAAATACGTAAGCTGTTGACAAACAATTCTGCATTCAATTTTCTCAGCAAATACACACTCCTTAGACTCTTGGTGCTTAAATGCTAAAAAATGCCGTTAGAAATTATATTAGAATATGAGAATTTTCCTCATAAATTCTTTATCAGAACTAATTCTTTCTCTTTGGTTGATTGATCAAAGGAATAGAATATTCTATGTGGAATACAGACAATTCTGGGTCTTAAAACACAGTTGACTACTGTGTGTGATCAACATTTTGTTTGTCTCTACCAGAGAAAGGAAGTGGTTATCTAGTGTGTGTGTGTGTGTGTGTGTGTGTGTGTGTGTGTGTGTGTTTCCTTCCTGGAGTATATAAAACGAATCACAGTAACAGATACATCCCACTGTTTTGTGTGACAAGAGGACCAGTTCATAAAGCTATGTACACCTGTCTCATTATTCCTTTCACACCAAAAGTTAAAAATGTCAGCTAAGCATCACAGCAGATTCCAATCACAGACATGGCAATGCCTTTCCATCTATGCACTGCTTGCTGCATGCACATTAGTTTCCAGTTTAGTTCAAATATAAAAGACAAAAATCTATTTCCTAATTTTTAAAAAAAGGTTGGATAGTATTTCACCTGTTTTTGTGTGAGTGTGGGGCAGTGCATGCTACAGCACTTGTATAAAGGTCATAGCACAACATTATTGAGTCAATCGCCCTACCAATGCAAATGTTTCAGGAATTTAATACTGGTTGTCAGGCTTACATAGCAAGTTCCTTTCCCCAACCCACTAAGTCTTCCATTATTTAATAAACATTGATTAAATTCATTACAACCCTATCTAAATATCACATTTATTTCACAAAAGGGAAACATACGGCATATTGTTTAAAAACACAGTCATTTTAACATTAGCTGGGCTCTTTTTCAGAACTCTATTTCTACCCTTCCTTCCAAAGTTAAATAACAACTCTACATAGACCTCATACATCCCAGACAGGTTTAAATGAGCTGATACATGTGAAACATTTAGTTAAGGAAATGGCATATAAGAAGCTCTGACCAACTCGCAGCTGGTTTTATTATTGATGATATAATTATGATTTTTACCACTAGCACAATGTGTTTCAGTTAAGTAGGTCTATACAGAATACTTGAGAGTATTTAATTTCATATTGGGAGAAATGAAAATAATTAGAACTACTAAAATTATTCAGAATTCATTTCTCACAACAGAATAAAAGGCTTAAGAAATTATAAGAAACCACTTTAACTGTGAGGATGTCCTGGTAATAAAAATCTTTTGGGGAGGGGGGTAAGAGCCTTGCTGTTGCAACATTTTTATTATTTGGAATTAATGCTCTCCTGAACAGTGTTTTGTCCCTGGGACAATAAATGTGAGAGAGTAGCATGAAACAGAACTTTGTAGGTAGAAGAAGGCCCTACCTACAATTCAAGGGAGAGTCATCTGTATGATTTGAGACACAGTTTGTCTGTTTTGTTTTTGTTCCTGTCCTGGGAAAGTTTTCAATATATTTTTCTGAAGCTGGTGTTCACCATGGAGTGGGACTTCAGGTAAATAGGCTGACTTAAAGTATAATGAATGTTGGACCCATGTAGACATTGTGTACTGATATGGAAAGGGGCATGGCCAACGGTACAGGCATCCAGGGTCTCTCCCAAAAGAGTATAGCTTCTGATACTGCTTTATAGCCATGGTCACATGACCTGGGATAATTCAAGAGCAAAGGTGCTTAAGCCATTACTTTGCCAACTATAACTATATTTGAAACATCTCTGGAGGTTAGCAAATGTATATACAGTATTAAATAGTGCTGTTGTAAGTTAAAGACAGGTATCATGGGTATACTGCATATAAAAGCCTCTTTGTAGAATCCAAATTGGATTATATATATATTCATTCTAAATACAAAATGAATGAGCATTAAAATATTGAAATTGTAATGTGTCAAGTTTTGTGGTGGTTTAAATAAGTATGCCCCACATAGACTCATGTGTTTGAATGCTTGGCCCATAAGTAGTAGCACTATTAGAAGTTGTGGCCTTGTTAGAGGAAGTATTTACTGTGGGGGAGGACTTTGAGGTCTTATATGTTCAAGTTATGCCCATTGTGAGTCACAGTTCACTTCCTGTTGCCTGTGGATCAAGATGTAGAACTCCCAGCTACCTCTGCACTACCATGTTTGCCTGCGCACTGCCATGTCCCACCATGATGATAATGGAATATAGCTCTGAAATTCTAAGCCAGTCCCAATTAAGTGTTTTTCCTTTATGAGAGTTGTTGTGGTCATGGTGTCTCTTCACAGCAAATAAACCCTACGACAAGTTTAACACAGAAAAATTATTACCATTGTGTAAATTACTTGAATAAAACCCTGGAAGGGATATTGTACATGTAAAGAGCATTTAGCAAAATTCAAGCGAAAATGGATAAAGCATAGGCTGATATAAACAATATATCAGTACCAGCTTACTAGCTATTATAAGCATCAATAAGCTAGAATTGGTGAATATGGCAACTGCATAAGTCATTACATTTCTGTAAAGTTCAAACTATTTTAACAAAAAAAATCTATCAAAATATTCTATGAAAAAATTGATAAAAATTAAAAAATTTAAAGTAGGGTTATGAAGACATAAAGAGTCACAAGTGATAAGAAATTATATTTGGGTGATATAACTAATGTGTGTTTAAATTTCAGTGGCTTACAAAATTTTCTTTGGAAAAGCTTTAGCAGAAGGTTGTATATCAAAACTTGAATAAATAGAAGAGTAAGAACAAATGTAAAAGTATGACTTCATGTGTAAAATGGGCTAACAACAGTTACAAAGTTGATTGCTTTCAAAACTGGATATGGCACAATGTTGCTGTTTGGATAAGGCAGGCTGTTTATGGATTAACTGTGCCTTTGCAAAATTTATACAGTGAAAATTGATATCTCAGAATGTGACTCTGATTGAAGAAAGAGTACTTATACAAGCCAGAAAATAAAAAAAAATGTCAAATGCAAGTCAATTATCTATAATAGAGTGTCTCTGGGTATTACAGCCATACCAGAGCAGGTCCCATGCAGAATGGTAGTTGACCAACACAAAGCAAATTTCATGTTTTGTTTGTCCACTTTTTGTTTTGGCACTTTTTAATTTTTTTATTTTTCATTATTTTTTATTTTGAATATGTATATATTGTTGAGTATATATACAACAATAGTCACAGTCACAGGCCTCACTCTTTCCTGTGTTGAAGATCACAGTTTCTGCTTCTCTCGGCTTTGATCAAACCTGCATGCCAGAGCAGGTGTTACAGGAATAGGCAGACACACATTTGTTGGCTGACTACCTGCTGCATAGCCATTGAAGCTGCTGCTGTCAATCTTCTGGTGTGTAAGGTGTGACTGATGACACAATTGCTACTATTGTAGAAAAATAGTGTGGCTCATGATTCAATTTAAAAATAGCTATTCTAGATTCCTTTTAAGAGAGTGAGTGATAGGCAGATAATTATCTGTACATAGATGTGAGTTTTCTCTGTGATTATTTTTACTATGTGATGGTTCTACTGTTCTGAATGAACATCACATTTGACTTTAATTTTCCTGCCAGTGAGATATTCTGTGCCATTAAAAATCGCCTTATATACCCCTTTCTCTCGTCCTTTCACCTGTGTAGTTTTGTGGACTCAGAACTTCAGAGATGATCTTCGATGGGGGGTGGTCTTCTGTATATATGTTTCTTTTATTGGTTGATTAATAAAACATTGTTTACTCAATAGAGGCAGGAAGATAGGCCAGACTAGGAGATGAGGAGAATTATTGGAAAGGTAGACAGAGAAAGAATCACCAAGACACGCCATGTAGCTATGGGGAAGATAGGATGCACCAGTGTTCTCTGGCAAGATAAGGCCACGTAGAAATACACAGATTTATAGAAATGGGTTAATAATTAAGACAGAGCTAGCCCATAAGGAGCCCTACCCACACGGTCAATAGTTTTATAGTTAATATAACATCTGTGTGTTTATTTGGGGCTGGTCAGCTGTGGGACTTGGTGGGAAAGAAAACTACAGCAACAGAGTTTGATTGCTGTCAAATAGGTCAACACTGACTCAGAGAAGAAAATTACTTTCTACATCTCACTGAGACACTGTCATGCAATATCTGGACAATAGAGCTTGTCATTCACTGAATTCATACGTTATTTGCAAACTAGATATTAAATCAAGGTCAGAAACTTGTCTTTTGTAGAGGAATTGTTTAACTGTTACCAAGAAGTAAATATGCATACATTTTAGATCAATCCAAGATCTTCATATATGTTATTTCCTCTGGATCTGAAATTTGATATTACCAATCTAAAGAATTTAGGTGGAAATCCCATTTTTGAAGTCCTTAAGTTACATTACTGAAATTCCAGCATTCTCCAGTCATTTATATTATCTGTTAACAATTGCAATAAGAGCTTTCCCTAGTCAGAGATAGATGTCCACAACTCAGCCAAGTAGCATCATAGAATTGGTTCCAAGTTGTTCAATATAAAGATTTGCTGGAAACAGGTATGTTTAATTTTTCTGTGAGACTGAAGCGATTTATTATTCCTTGTGACTGATCACTTTAATTTTGTGACTTATTGTGCTGCAATTAAATACATGTTCTTTTATGTCATGACAAAATAGAAAGAAGGGCCAGCCAAGAATGGTGCTTCATTGATTCATTGTGGGAAAACTACTCTGCATAAAACATGCAACACCACATTGAACTATATTACATTTGATTTTTACTACTCTCATGCATTAATAGATATATGCCTTGTATATAATTAGTTCTGTTAGGAATATTGGTCTTATTTACCTCTAAACATCTCATCAATAAAGAATGAAGACCAACATTAGTGAGTTTACAAAACAGAATATATATATGAGGGCAACTATAAAATTTTTATATATGTATATCTTAACACAGAGGTATGTTTAAAAGAAGAGACAGAAACTTAGATGCATAGACATTTCCTATAGGTTAGCAGGGAAGGATTTTCTATTGTTTTGTATGGTAACTCTAGGTCCTTTAAAAAATAAATAACAATAAATCAATAAATGATTCTCCTGTAAAATAAAATTAGTTGCAGTACATAAGATTTTAGAATTTAAAACCCATATTTCCCAGAAAATACCCTTAATTTAGAAATCTTATAAAATTGCATGATTGCCATCATTGAAGGAAATGTTACTACACTGAAGAATGCTTTAACTCTCTCCACGTGAGTTGAACACCTATGTGATACTGAAATCCACCCACATTACATGCAGAGTGCAGAGAAATGACATACCCAGGCGCTCACACATCTGCCACAGGTGGTGATCTTGAAGTCCCCATAGAGATCTTTGATGGCACCAGTTGTGAAGAAACCTTCCACCATCAGCAAAATGCCATAGACAAAGAAAGCAGCTGCAATGCCATAGATCACATACTTAAAGATGTCAATCCTGGAGACAAAAAAGAAAAGCAAAAGACAATGTCATCTATTAAAATGATTGTCATTTGATTTCAAAAACTGATCCTCATGTGTTCATGGATCTTTTGAAATGAAAGTAGAAGATATGCATTTATCCAAAATCTCTCCATGGACCAAGGAGCTATTGGCAGTTGATGCCTATTGGATGAGGGAAAGTCACTTTTCTTCAGAGATGTGATCCCTAAGTATATGGTCCCATGCCCATGCTCAGGCCCATGCAGGTAGCACTAAATGGACTCAGTGAGTATTAAATTAAAAAAAACAGAGGAAGAGTACATGAAGTTCAGAGGGGAAAAGTAGAAGAAGATGGGGGAGGGAAAGGAGGATGTACTGAACTGGATCCAAAAATGCTATATTAAATGAAATATTGGATAAGAAAATTAAAAGAACATTGGTATTCATTATGATAGGTAAATTATAAAACATACATGTTTTATATGTGTAATGTTAGCATATATATTCTGTTCTGGTATTCTTAACATTTATCAACAAGGGTGCTGAGATTTGTGCATATGTAGACTTTATTCTCTTCTTTGGCAGTCTCTCTTGTTCTCTGGTCAAGTTAATGAAGTCTTACTTAGATAATTAAGAGGTTGCCTAATCATTTGATAAGTGGGGTAATCATAGGCAAAATTATCAAATGCATATATATGGATAAAACATTGAATCTTTTAAACATATTAAAGGATGAAGAATGCTTGGGTGTTATTAGTTTTTTATAAGTTTATATAAATTTCATACTTTGCCACTTCACTGGTTTTAAATGGACTTTATTTAAATAATATCATAAACATCACTAATATTTTCTGGCAACAATAGTACTAATAATGTAAATAAAGTCATTTTCAGAAAAATCACAAGTATGTTTTTATGGTAGAACCACAAATTAATATTAAATAGAATTGAGTCAGAAATCACCAAAGTGTGATTCTTGAGAGGTTTAAAACAGTATTTTGCTTTTATCATAGTTGAACACTTATTGTTTAAAAATCCATACTAAAATTACATTTAGGAAATATAAACATATTCAAACAGAGAACTGATAAATACAAAACAGCTAGATATAAGTTTGGATAGATAGATGATGGACAGTAGATGATACAGGATACTTTTCATCCTATAGCTCTGTATTTAGGAGATCAACACTCATTATGTTTAGAAAGAATAATTTGCATGTTTGTGAAGTAAGTTTCCATTTATAGTTCTTTTTTTTGAAACAATTTGCTCTGTATTTGTGGTCTATATAGTATCTTTTTAAACCAAGGAAATATTTGTAAACACAATTGTGTCCTGTAGTTGAAAAACATTCTATTAGGACTTGTTTTTGTACACTGTCATTATCAGTGAGTAGTTCACATTCAGTGTACTCATAGCTGCTGAATATGCCAATGGAGTGCAAATGTGGAGATAACACCAATTCAGCACCCTATGTCACCTAACCTGAGGAATAAGTCATGTACAAGACTTGGAATGTATTAACTACATGCCTTTTTTATGTCATATGCTTATCATTCTACCCTTAAGACAACATCAATACTGAAATACCTGAGGAATGGCTATAATGTCTGTGCTGTAGATAAACACTTCTACAAAAACTATTCATCTTCATTGGGATTCCCAATCTCCTTCAAAATTAAGATTGTTCTGATTTATCTAATAAGATTTCCACTTAAGTTTTAAAAGAGGAGAAATCACTACAAAAATGGAGGCAGATTGGAATGATGTGGCTTCAAGCCAGTACCTGGAAGAGACAAATTGCTGAGCTTTCTGAAGTCCTCTACGAGAGTCCTCCTTTGATGACAACTTTATTCCAGACTTATGAACCTTCCAAATATGATAGAGTATATATTTTTATCTCTCCTTTTTTCTCTTCATGTTTTTCTTTACTGCTAGGGAATGAAATCAAGGTCTCCTTGTGTCTACTAAATAAGTGCCCTACATCTGCCTCTTTCCTACATTTTAAATCACAATGTTATATTTTTATGGCAGTATATTTGTATACCCAAATATGAAGCCTACATACAACTAATCTAAGTCTGGCATTGTGTAACAATATGCTTATGGGTTGCAAGTCACTTATTACAATGCACCGATATGACAGTAATACTAAAGTGTGTCATATCTCTTCTGAGTTGTAAAGTGGCAATTTTCAAAAGCAGGAAATGGCCCATGCTTCTTAATCATCTTAATCATCTTCTTAGTGTTACTAAGAAGAAGAAAAGTTCACATTCTATGGCTTTAAAAGTTATGCTACATTCTAGAGTATGGAGACCCATTTACCCAATTCCCTACTTTTAGCAGTGGTATAAAGGATCTCCAAAGGTATCTATACCCTACTTCCTAGAAAGGGTTCGTGAGTCATTTTATATTGCCAAAGGGATTTTGCAGAATGTGGTTTATGATCTACAGATAGAAAAATTATTGTGGAGAAAAGGAGTGGTTTAAATGTAACCATGTTGATTTTTAAAATGAAAGATATAAGAGTGTCTCTATAAAATTCAGAGAGAGATTTCAGGATGCCACATAGCTGGCTTTGAAGATGGAAAGGGACAAGGAGCCAAGAATGCAGGTGGCTTTTGGAAGATGGAACAACTCCAAAGATTCCAGATGGAACTCAGTTTTGCCAACATCTTGATTTCTTCCTATTGCAGTAAACCTAGTAAGACCTGCTTTGGATTTTGACCTATGTAACTAATCAATTTCTTAGTTTTAAGAAAAATAGTTTCTGATTAAAAACAGCAGTTCTTAATGATTAGAAGCCTGAAAAAAATTGCTTAGTAAAAAATGCACCCTATTTGACTGTTATTTCCAAAATCATTAATTCAATAAGATTTCTAACAAAAATTTTAACTGTGATTTAAAGTATGTTCTGATATCCAAGACAAATCAGTAATCACCAATCAGCTCTGCTTTGCCTGTTCTTGAAACATTATTGTATGTAGAAGGCAAAATGTTTGGTTTAACTGTCTGTTCTATAGGTGAGTAGAGAGAGTTTGCAGATTGCTGTGGTTTCCAAGCCTCAGTTTGTTTTCCTTTGTTATATTGTTATCTTCAAACCATTAAGACGGTTTGTGTTTTGCTAAGTGTTTTTATAACTCAATAATTTCCAAAGAATAAATGTGAACAATAAAAAATTATACATAATAAATTCATAATGGTGATTGGAGTAAATTTTGGGAATCTATCTTTGTTTGTTTTAAAGTATCAAATAAGTCATAAATCTGGTAAATTAATTTTTGATAAATTAATATAAAATCAGAGTTAAGTTATTTTAAAAATAAAATCTATTGTGTCTATAAATCAATATTATAAGATCCTGAGCACTTATTTCTAGTTTTTAAAATTCAAATACAACCCTTGAGAAATAAATTATATGGAATTTTATTTAGGAATAAAGCTAGCATGCGACCAGACCTCAGGATAGTTATTCAAGAGGCCAAATCATTTAATTATCTTGGTCACCTTTTTATATATCATTTTCAGCAACTCTCCTCATTTCATTGCCTGTATGAATGTGTTGTGCAGTGGTGAATACCTAGCCTCCTCTTCCTTGGTGTCAAATGATAATTAAAGAACATAGCAATAATACATTGTCAAAACTTTTCTCAGGTAAAAGTTTCTGAATCACAAATTAGAAGAGTTACTGTTCATTACACAACAAATAACAAGCCACTTCTTGAGTGAGTGAGCCCAAGTGCTTGTGCTAATATGTAGATGTTGCTGAAGAGGGGAAATAATGGGAGAAGTAGATTAAATTATAAACTTATCACAAGTTTGGATCCAACACATGATCTGAATTTTAAGAACCAAATTGACATATCACAGCTGAAAAGGCTTCTGGGATACCAGTGGATAATGATAGATAGAGACATTAAAAATTCTACCAATAGATCAAAAAGCTTTTAGAAATTCACTCTCTTCTTTCTTTGAAGGGCTCAACACAGTGGTTGGACCATGACAAAATGGCTTAACAGTAACTGGGAAGTTAGGATTTAGAATACAGCAATGATAGAAACATAATGCAGAAGAAGAAACCAACTGCAGACTTATCTGTGAAATATAAAATTTCATGCTTGGAAGATGACTAGTAAAGCACAATGGCAACATTTCATGGTTACATGCATTTCATAGATTGCTCCTTAGTCTTGGAGATCTGAATTATGTTTAGGAACTTGCATGTATTTAGGGGATTGGGAGAGAAATAAGGGAGAAAGTAGAAAAGGTAGAGGAGGGAGAAAGGATGGGAAGGAAGAGAATAATGGAGGCGAGGGGGAGGGATGGAGAGAGAGAGAGAGAGAGAGAGAGAGAGAGAGAGGAATGTAAGGATAAAGAAAAAAGCTACTCTCAGATCCTGAGGAACACAGGTGAAATCATAAGTCTTCAGAAATCTTTTTTTTTAATCATTATCTTTTAGCTCTCTAACTAAAGAGGACTCTTTTCTCCTTTAAGTGAGAAACTTTTGCATATGGCTGAAACAAGAAGTTGTAAATCACTAAAACTGGCCACATGCTTTCTCTGTGATCATTCTCCAACATATTCTTTTCAAACAAAGTTTATGAGCAAGACGCATCACCTATATAACTATTATTTGCCCCCAGTACCATATAGTTCTCATTTTACACCATCTGCTTCTTCTTTACATATCCCATTCCTCTGACATCCCCATCCCTGCAGGCAGTCCTGCTGCGTGCAATCTCCACAACCTCAACATCTTCACATATTTTATGAACTTTTTAGTTCTTACTCACCACACTAAGATTTTTTTTCAAGGAGCAGGATTTACTCCATTTAGAAACTCCATGAGGCCTATATAGTGAATTTAATGAATTAGAACTATGAAAAGAGGAATAATTTTGGACCCCCAATTCAGTATAATTGTCTTCCTATAACAAATATATTCACTGCATTCCTATAACAAATATATAAATGAAATTCATTAAATTTCATTTAATTTCTCATGTAACAGATCAAAAGTAAAATTATAAAAATATATAAGTCTTTTCTAAATCCCCTTTCCCAGGCTCGCACAGAGAGTATCCACAGAGCTTCAGCAGAGATCTGTGATATTTTAAAGTTTGTTGTCTAAATATCAAACATGTAACTTTATAATTGTTAATATATATAGTCATTTATTAGACTTATGACTCCTTAAAAACTTCATGTGCTATAACTGAATTAAGCAATTTGGATGCAGACTAAATATAGAGCTGTGGATTTCAAGGACATCTGTGGTAGCTTAAAATAATGAACAGTGAGAACATATTTTGTCCAGCTATGCTGAGATATAACTGAAAAGAAAATGTCAGTTTTATCACATTAAAATATATCCATGAAATCATCTTACTAAAACTCTCCGGAACTAACTAGCAATAACCCAGATGGATTTCCTTTCCTTTTCTTTTCTTTTCTTTCTTCTTTATTTTCTCTAAGACAGGGTCTCACTACATAGCTCTGGCTGTCCTGGAACTCACTAAGTAGCACAGGCTGTCCTGGAATTCACAGAGATCAGTCTACTTTTGTCTCCTGGGTCCTAGGAGTAAAGTAATCCACCACTACTACCTGGCTACCCAGTTGGATTTTGAAATAGTTTAATTACATCCATATGATGAGCATGAGTAATAAACAAAGAATGATGAATATGAGTAATAAACAAATAATGATTCTGGAAATTAATTTATTAAATAATTAAGTAAGTAATTTTATTTTTGTTTTTCTCTTGGCTTTCCTACATGACAGACTTTAATCTGTAAGCCAAAGAAACCCTTTCCTTCTCCAAGTTTCTTGTGGATAATGTGTTTATTATGGCAACAGAAAGTAAACTGGATGAGAAAACAGGCCAGTTTCAAAACAAAATTCAGTTTTACAGCCTTAGGAAAATATTCTTAGAATCTGAGAGCCCTTTCCCTAAAACTAAGTTGACTTATAAAGGTATTTTGTTTTAAAACTTTTGAATTGAGACAGGGAGTCAATGTGGCAAATGGCTTTAATACCAGCACTAGGGAGGCAGAGGCAGGCAGATCTCTGTGAATCTAGCTGGTCTACAGAGTGAGTTTCAAAACAGCCAGGTAGGCACAGGCAAACCCTTTGAATTGAAATATAGAGAAAAGAAGAAAACCACTTGAAAATATGCTTAATTAATGACACCTATGTCTGGCTATATTTCTATACCCAAAGGTCTGGTAAGATTGGCAGCTCTTTTAACTAGTGGTATGCCAGTGATACAGCAAGTGAACCATGGATTTGAAACCATGTGAGTTCTCTCATTGTAGGCTTTGTTTATTTATTTTTTCTGTTTCTTTCTACTCCTTCCTTTTCTATGAATTCAATCAGGTCTAATCCACTTTCGGAATCTATCTGAAGCCTTCCCTGACAGTCAAAGTGATTTTTCCTAAATGGAAAAATGATCCTATGGAAACTTAAATCTAAGGTTCTGAATCACTATCAAGTTTTGGTTTTATGTGTTTCCTACTGTTCAACTCTATGACAATAAATTACAGGAATATTTATTACTCAATTAAATGGATAGTGCTAATTTACAAAAGGTTGGTGAAATAACATTACAATGTGAAATAGACAATTTTAACCTGCTAATAAACATTCATTTGCAAATTTGGGAGACAATGATACATCAGATTTATGGACTGTAGTTTTTAATAATAATTTCTTATTTTTTTTCAGTCCTAGGGAATTGAACCTCACATATACTAGATGATGATGACATATACCTAAGCATATACACAACAAATATTCTATCAGTGAGCTCTATCCCCAGCTCTATTTGTGCTTTCAACATTGAGAAAGACTTATATTAATTTTGCCAGGCTGGCATTGAACTTACTCTGCAGCCCAGGTGGGATTTGAATTCATTGTTCTCCCTACTCCAGTATCATGAGTAGCTGTGCTCACAGATCTGCACCACATATCTCTGCTGACCTCACTCATTCAGCAATCTCCTCTTATTCTACTCACTGCTGGTGGAAGTATTTAGGTTTCCTTTATTCTATTTCATTTTTTTACTGCTTAGAAATTATCAATATTTAAAATCTTCAAACATTACAGATAAATATAAAAGCTAAATATCTTTTCTTTAAAATTTCTGCTGTTTCCTGTTTTGGAACAACATATCCTCCTCCCCTCAGAGCAGAGAATTGTGGTTTATATTATATAACAGTACTGTGCAACTCCATTCTCTTCATTTTCACAGTGAATTAACTTTAATTGCTCCTAGGATACAAGTTATTAAAACTATTGTTGAAAACAATGTTCTAGTTTATGGACATTAAAGAAATTTAGCAATATTATATAGTGTTTTTGAGACAGGGTCTTCTATGTAGCTCTGGGACATTCTACGTAGACCAAGTTGGTCTGGAACTCATAAATGTTAGCTTGCTTTTGCCTCTCAAGTGCGGTGATTAAAGGTGTGTGCCACCATACCTGGACCGTAACGTTGCATACTTCTGATATTGTAGTTATAAGATCATTTTATTCTACTAAGGAGTTACCAGTGACACCAAGATCAAAGGAACCTGCTTGGATCAATCAGAATTGCAGTTGATTACTTTTATCTAGAAGGATCTGAGTAGAAAACAATGGTACGATAGCTAATCAGATAACCATCAATATTTGAAAGTATAAATAGTCTTGTTCCAGAAATTATGAGCTTGCAGTAAGAGCAATTAAGTATTTTAGAAAGAAAAAAAAAAGAAAATTCCAAACACATAAACCAAGCAGCATGAAACATGAGTGTTTTAAAAAAATAATAAATACATTATTTCTGTCTATAATCATGAAATCACCCAGTAGATGGTGAGAATTAACATCAAATTATAAATGAATCCTAAGTACTTGTTCTCTGTAATATTAATAAGAGATTGAAACCAGGACAAAAGACTTGCACGTCCAGACTGCTTAAATTACATTTACAAAAACCATTATTTCAACATCATCATAATTTTATAATCCTAGAAGTTAATATTTTAGGGGATCAAAACATAATTGGTGTTTTCTGAAAATAAACTTCTCAATATTTAATTTTTGTCTTACAAAAGATCACAAGAACCTTTGACAATATTTTCTGTGAGGTAAGGAAAGTAAGGTAATATTTGCATGGCTAGATTAAAGTTGTGAAGTGTCTAATCTCCTTAGAATTTTATGAATTTCTTAGAATTAACACCAAAGTCTAGATTTTTGCTTGCCTGTCATCTGTCTTTTCACCATTTTTTGAGGAGTCTATGCTCAAATCTGAAGAGCAAGGCAAAAATTTCCTGCTTAGTGGTAATTTATTTCATGTCTAAGCCTAGGTTAAACTCTGCTAATTTGGCCTTATAATCTATACAAAACACCTTGTATTGGTTGTTGGATCAATGATTTTCTGAATCATGTTTGCCTCATGAAGATTTTTTTCATTCATCATCACCTTACTTAGCTGGACAATCTATTAATTTAGAAAACAGAAACAGGAATGTAAGCAAAAAAAGCACTATACAAAAAGTGGACATAAAGGATGACTCACATGGTGAAAACATCCAGTGTATCTCCAGCAGTCCGTGCCATCTCAAAGTAGGTCTGCAGAATGTTGACTGTTCCAGAAAGGGCTTCATGACCACAGCCACAGAACAGGGCAACGCCCGCATACAGCAGGATGGTGGCAATCAGAGAAGCATAGGGAATACCTCCCAGGCATTTAATACAGCACTCAAAACACCCTGTATCAGAGCAACAGAAAAAGTGAAAATTCAAGTTATTTATTCATCTTAGTAAAGTATTTCTATAACCTCAACTATAACACTATAGGAAATAGTATTAGTATTGAAAGATGTCCCCAGGTCAACCATATTAAAGTCAAGTCCTAGTGTGCCTTAGAAAGAGTAAAGATGTCTATTGTTACAACCATTCTCAGGCCTGTGGATGTTTAGACAGCCATGATCACATCCACTATGCTTAGTCCAAAAGAAGCCCTTCACTATAAATGACCACACAAGCATGCTTGGCATTCTGCTTTGAATTCATTGATGTTATATTTCATGTTATTAAAACTTTGCTTAAATAATCCCTATTCCTTTGAAATATTTGTGCATTTTTTTCTGATCTTTATTTGAAACCTATAGTACTCAACTGGAAACTCAACTAACCGAAGTTTTACCTACAGATTCTGAAAACAGAGAAGACAAGAATCAGATAGCATTTGAATGCATTCCAATTACTAAAGGAATTAAAGATGAATTCTGAATTAATCATATATGTATGTTCTATATACAGTGACTCATAATGAAAAAATCTATAGATTTGGTTTTAAAATAAATGAGGAAGACATGGTCACAATAGAAAACAAAAAGCAAGGAGGGATTGATACTGATCCCATCACTGTGTCTTTTAACAGATTCATCCTTTTGATATTATCTTGCAAACATGGTGACAATAAGAGAATGCCTTCATGCTGTTCTATTGGTGATTAAATGAGCCAATATATAAAATGAGCCAATATACAAAATAGTACCTGTGCAACAAAATTGCTCCATAAATGTAAGCTGTTATCATTAAGACATAATTCAGCTGTTATTATTATGATTATCCTTTCATATAGTTGTCAAAAACTCTTTGACCATAACAGGCACTTTCAGTTGTTGAACTTCATCATTTATGTCTCCATTTAAAGAGAGTTTTGAGCATTGAACCTGATATACCACAAAGCATATTTGTTTATGCTTAAATGCAATGCCAAAACTAGAAAATCTTAGATGGATATGTTTGATAGCAAGAAGCACTGGTGAGACACCATTGTGCTAACCCCTGCTCAGACTGGGTAATTGAAGCTACATTACTAACTTGGAGGTTTAGTAAGCCTCCAAAATGATGTTATATGTTCAGCTTTATCCCTGCCCTGCCACATACATCTCTAATTCAGAAATAGGAAGGCTCCCATCATCCTTCCAATTGAAAATTCTTAGTTCAATCCCATTTGAATGAGGGAGCCCTTTCTGTTATGGATTGAGTTCCCCCTTTTCCAAAATAAGTAAGTGAGAATTTAAAGTGGATTGTGATTATTATACTTTAAGGCAGTCATCGGAAAAGCTAAATTTACTTTACCTAGAAGGCACATGAAGCTTGAATATCCCTAATCTGGAGTGCTTGAGGCTAGAAGTGATTTGGATTTGGCAGGCATTTTTTTTTTTTAATTTTGGGATATCTGCATATAAGCAAATAGCTTGAGGATGGAACTGATAGCTCAGCATGAAATTCATTTGCATACACACTTTATGTACTTTTCCTGAAGGTAATTATATAATATTTTAGCATGCCTGCATTCTAGTTATGTCCTGTCATATACAGTTAATTATAGGGCTTTGCACTTGCAGCACTATCAGGGCTGAAGAAGTTATATATTTGAGCATGTTTTGGCTTCCAGATTGTACTACTTTTTGGTTACAGATCCTTGACCTTTATGAATCTATATTCATATATATATATATATATATATACATATATATATATGCAATAACATACGAAACATTAGATTTAAAAGTTCCTGTGTGAAGTGACTTTATGTTTGGAGAATGAACTAGACTGTTATTTTGATATTGTTTTTTTAAAGGCTTGAGAATTATAGCCCATAACATCTCCCTCAGGAGTGTTTAAAAAGCATCCAGAGTACCTCACCAGTTTTGTTGCTATTTCTTGTGACAACAAAATCAATTCCTGAACATTTCTTCTACACAAACACACACACACACACACACACACACACACACACACACAATGTGGGGAAGTAGAAAAGGTTAGAACAGCTTGAAACTTCATATAGTAGAAAAAATTCACCAACAGATGGCTGAGACCAGTGTGTGTAGTATCTGAATGTCATTGAGCCCAGTTTGGGTAGAGACTAACGGGGTGGCAGAAAAAAAATTAGACTATTCCCTTTTGATACTCTATAATTCCCAACTCACTCGTTATTTAAAATTAAAGGGGAAAACAATTAACATTAGCATTTAAAAAACAAAGAATTCCCTAATTTGTCAAGTTTACCAAATGGTCCCAATGACTTCAAGTCCCAGTTTTGTGGTACCTCTCTCTTCCCAATCTCAAAACATTTGATACAGACAAGGAAAGATTCTATTGCAGTCATTTTTAAATGTCAAAACTACATTCTCATGCTCAACACAACCATCTGATTATAAGTGCAAACACAGAGAGAAGATTCTAAATAATGAATGCCATCCCCTTTGCTTTATCCTAGAACATAGAATTTACAGGTGAATAAAATATGAAATCACAGAAACTCAAGAGCAGACAAAATACAAAAAAATAAACCCCAAACCCAAACAAACATAAAAATCATTACCAAAATGGTCACTTAGAACTTCTGGTTAATTTTACTCCCAGTGTGGAGCTAGGTTTTAGAGGTCATATTTTTCCTATGACCAACATTAGCTTCTGTGCTAGACTCCATCTCCCTAAGAAGAAACCATATGCTCATCAGATAGCATTTTAACTCATGAGTTGCTTTTAAACTTAGAAATGTATGAGATAAAGTCTAATAATTCACTAATACTAGAGAAAACTACAGTTAAAGTCTCTGCATTAATGCACATTTCCAAATTTGCTTATTATCTCCAAAAGAGACCCTTCCTCTCCATTTAAACATAGTCATATAATTTACTTCAGAATTATGTTACCTTTGCTGACAAATAAAAGTTCCTCTAAGTTTCCATTTCTGCATGTTCGGGGTAGAAATATTGACCCTCTGCAAAACTTGTTCAAGTGAAAATCCTTAGGCATCTCATTGGGGACATATTGTGCTTGTAGCAGACTACATACTAATCAAAACTATTCTTCCTATGAGTTTGAGCAGAGTTGCCACCTGCATTTAAAGAAGTCTCTTTGAACTCGCATATGGAGAAGAAGCACATCATCTCAGCATTCTCTCCAGCTGCCAGAATCCCACATAGTTGCTGGCAGGGGAGCTTCTTTCCACCCACAGTGAGAAACAGCCTTGGCAGATCAGTAGCGTCTCCATGGCAACCGTGCCCCTGGGCCAGGATGCACTCCCAATAATCACCCTTGAAGGCTGAGGATTCTGCTGTCCCCCATCATCATGCTTTTACTGAGCAGAAAGTGCAAAAACACTCTATTAGATGAATATTAATGAAGCATAGTAAGTGGGGCTCTGTCAAGGGAAGAAATAGATTTCTTGAGAAAAATCTCTATAAAAGCTGCAATGATTGCTTTGTATATTTTCCACACTATATATGAGAAAAGGGCCTTTTAATTCTCATATAAAGCTAAGGTTCAAATATCGACAGGGAATTGTGTGCCATTTATCCATATGTGCAAACAGAAGCACTTATTATGTCCAGTTTCTGGGTGTATCCGCTCAAGTGAAATAATGCCATGTTGTCAATTTCAAGGTGAAGATAATCAGTAAAAGAACCACCTAGCGTTATTTTCAACACACCTTCTAAAACATTAACTTTTTGTTCACTATTTAGCAAGGGTTTAAAACTGACTTCTTCCAATGTAAAATTTGAGAAATTCCCTTGATATGGTTGTTTTTAAAAGATGTACATTTATTGTTCCATGCAGCATATCATCAGATTAAATAATGACAAATAAGCACAATATTTGCCTACAATTACTTCCCAAACTGTATTCAAAGTGAAAAACAAAACTAAAACACAAAGTATGTTAGACAACAGTAAAGAAAGACCAGCAAACATGGATTTTAGGAAATAAATTGGAAATCAAGGCTGACCACAGACTAAAATTTTACTCAAATGCATTTTTTCCAGTATTATTTACTAAGGAGATGCTTGTTTCTGTATGAACAAGTCCTGCCTTAGTCATATTCAGGTAGGCAGAGAGCTACATTGGTTTATGGACCGTCTATTCTCCCCATTAGTCATTGTCTCTCTTGTCAATACCACCACATCTCACGACACATCAATTACCATATCAAATCCCAGTCTTGTTTTGTTGCAGAGAAAACAGCTCCAACATATTAATTTTCCTCATGTGTACCATTTATTGCTCACTTGCTTTGTCATATCCATTTTAGAAAGCATTTGATTACATAAATTAATTCTGTAGCTATCTTCTTACTTATTTTAGAACTATAAACCTTAAGGCTAGCTTTTAGTTTGTCTCCATGCAGAGGTTCTGTGTATTTTGTTGGTCTTAGCAGACTGTGCAGAGAATCCCTACAACTTCAGTCATCCCTATAAATGATACCCTCTCAATCATTTTCCAGAAAAAAAGCCCTCACAAATGAATGTGTGTATGTGAAAATACCAGAAGATTCATAAATGTAACATATTAGTAATGTTTTCATGTGTTCTCCAAGTATTCTATTATGTGTATCTTCTTATATCGAAAATAAAAAAAGATAAATATAAAAAGCAAAAGGAGAACTATAAGCCTTAAAATCTTTTCTATATTTTAAGAATTATTTTGCAAGTTTGAATTATTTTGTTGATAATTATAGTATCTATGAAAATTTAAGTGTTATCTCTGACTTTTTAATATTTGTGCCTTTTCATTTATAATTTTGGTATCTTATTCTATTCCAAAATTAGTGAAATGTAAAGAGACAAAGTATCATTGTGTTTCTGATACTAAGGGAGAAAATATGTTTCATTATTAATTTAATGTTGGCTTATTTATTTAAATGGGTCTGTTTTGTTTTGAATTCTGTGACATGCCTCTGTATCAT